GCTGACACAGGAGCGCGCAAAGCAGCTGAGGGGCGGGGAGTGCGTGGGGGGGTGGGAGGTCTGCCTTCACGGCCCAGTCGGCCTCAAGCCACGGACCGGCAATGGGCCGCGGACCGGGGGTTGACGACCCCTGTCCTAGTGGATGCAATGGTACCATATCTTCTTGTTGTGAACATTCATGAGGATGTCTTCTGGGGATGGCCAGGCTATGTAATGCCAAGACTAAAGAAGAGCAACAGTGTAATATGCTAATTTTGTCCCAAAAGATTAGATGGCAGCCACAATCTTATGGAGATACCTCTGACACTGGACTAAATAAGCCCCTAATTCTTTTAACTGCTGAAACATTAATTTCATATAAAACTATTTCAGATACTTAATGAGAGAGATGCAAAGGTTTTTTTTAATCTTGAATTGCATTCACTTCCTTTTATCAGTTAACATCTATTTATTGCCATTAATGGTCTATCATAAGGGCAGGCAAGCAAGGAACAAAATGGGATCAAGTTTGGTGGGTGATTTGCAGTGGATCAGCTGGGATTCATGACTCAAAGTAAGCAGCATGAAGACAACATACTATTCCATACACCTCACTAAAAACTTGTGAGAGGACTATTAGCTTAACATTTCTATTGAGCTAGACAGTGTTCAGTGGCATATTTGTTTTACTTGAAGTGTACCCTTTCCATGAGATGTTTTGCATGTGGCTCTGGTGGATTCAAGGGTTCTGCTAACAATCGAAGTAGATCCTACAAGAACTGAAATACACCCACACTTAATATGTTTGTTTTAAAAAGGACTAAAATCAGTATGTGAGGAAGGGTGTCTGTTACTTATTGCTGTCTTCACGTGCAGAGCAGTAGCATGAGCGAAGGTGCATTTGCTACAGGTAGAATCTGTCAGGAACCTGACAAAGCAGGGCTCCCAGATCCAGGCAGAAAGAATACTGACTTCAGATTCTTGCTCTCGGAGAATGACAATGCAAGGAGTGGGCCTGGCAAAGGCCCCTTCTTGTGACCTGACTAGGGAACTAGTGGGATGGTCTAGTGCCATCCCATCGAAATGTAATTGTGTAGGTAGTGTACACCAACCTAAATACCAATATATCACAAAAGAGTATTTAGAGATAGCGTCACAACACTGAAAAAAGATATTCCAATACTGTCTAGTGACCAACTTTCCAGTTTTATTCTATGCATGCCTTTTCAGAAAGAAGCCTCACTGAAATCAATGAGACTCCCAAATCAGAGTATACAAGATTGAAGTCTCAGTCACTGAAAAAAGAGTGGAAAATGTCCATATTCCACCTACAAGTCATTCTGGAATACAAAACTACCAGTGCCTTTCACCTTGTCTTTTCTTGCTATAGTCAATTATAAGGTCTCCTCCGTACAGCTGCCATTACTTCTAAAGTACAAGGCACTCAAGCAGTAATGTACAAATTTGAACTCAATTATTTGAGATACAAATATAATTTAATGACTAATAATAATTATTTTATTCATCTAGGAGTGGAGCAGTCCAGGTTCAAATCCACTTTCAACCATGAAGCTGAATGGATGACTTTTTGCCAGCCACTTCATCTCAGGCTGGCCTATCACATGTGGTAGCTATGAGGATAATAATGAGGAGGATAAATTTCCTTGGAAAAAAGATGGGATATAAACATGATAAATAAACTCAACTTTTCAAATCTGATTGAACGGGCCTAGACTTATTAATACCCAAGTAGTACTAATTTACTAGGGACCTGGTGGCGCTGCCGGCTAAACCGCAGAAGCCTGTCCTGCAGGGTCAGAAGACCAAGCAGTCGTAAGATCAAATCCACGCGACGGAGTGAGCGCCCGTCGCTTGTCCCAGTTCCCGCCAACCTAGCGGTTCGAAAGCATGCAAATGCGAGTAGATAAATAGGGACCACCTCGGTGGGAAGTAACAGCATTCCGTGTCTAAGTCGCACTGGCCATGTGACCACGGAAGATTGTCTTCAGACAAAACGCTGGCTCTATGGCTTGGAAACGGGGATGAGCACCGCCCCCTAGAGTCAAGCACGACTGGACAAAAATTGTGAAGGGGAACCTTTACCTTTACCTTACTAATTTACTAGTCTGTGGGCATACCCAATCATTTGTTCTATTAGTTCTCTGTGTGATGTGACTACTCGCTTACAATAATCTAAAATTTGGAGTCATCTTGAAAATGGGCTAAAGGACAGAATATGCATTTTAAATAAAGAAAACCTTATTTAAAAGACAGATTTTGTCCTATTGGCTATTTTTGCACAGAAGTAGCCACATCCTTTATCAGGCTCAGGAGAACTCAGTTCCTACAAATGTGCAACACTACACATCCTGATTTAGGAATAAGTCCCACCGAATCAAGTGGGATTGTGCTGTACAATCATTTATCAATAGTGCAACGTACCATTTTGTCAGGGTTTAGCTAGTTTACTACAAGTCCTTAAATCTACAAGACACCCTGACCCTAAGAGAAGCTGAAGAAGTTCAAAGCATGAAAGCATTGCCTGGTTTGGGACAATCTTCTCCCCCACCAGTCTCTCCACACCATGCCCAGAGCTTGGGATACTCTTTGGACTACAGCGGCCAAATCCTGCAGCCAGTAACACCACCACCCCAAAGCTCAACCCATACTCCATCCCAAAAGGTTAAGGATATATTCCCAACCTATTAGTACAGCTTTGGAGGTGGGGGCACAAATAGATGGGCTGAAGAAAAGGGAGTGGGAAAACTTTTCTCTATCAGCCTCCTTAATTTCTCCTAGGATCCAATCCACAGACAGTTACAGTGGTGCCTCGCTTGACGAGGATAATTCGTTCCGTTCAAATCGCTGTTAAGCGCAATCCTCCTCAAGTGAAACGAAAAAGCCCATTGAAATGAATTGAAAACCGGTTCAATGTTTTCCAATGGGCTAAATACCTCATCGTAAAGCAAAGATCCTCCATAGGGCGGCCATTTTCCAGTGCCTGTATAGTGAGGAATCCATCCTAAAGCACAGCGGGGAGCCATTTTGCACAGCGGGCGGCCATTTCAGAGTCGCCGATCAGCTGTTTTAAAATCGTCGTCTAGCGAAAAATCAGTTCCCAAAGCAGGGAACCGATCATCATGAAGCAAATTTTTCCTATTATAACATCGTTTTGCAATTGCAAAAACCTCATCATCAAGCGGTTTCATGGTTTAACGAGGTAATTGTTAAGCAATGCACCACTGTAATTGAGTCATACAACGTCTCTTGAGTAAACCACCAAAGAAGCTAAAGGACTAACAGTGATACTCATATGTATTCCTACATATGAAATGCCATATGAAATGCCTACATATGAAATCCTAGTAAAAACAGATGGATAAACTAGAAAAAGTACTGAATCTCTATTTTAACATGGAGAGAAAGACAGTGCACAAAACCTCTTTGAGATTCAACTTCAAAAATATTTCTTTCCTATTTCAGCTCATATATAAAGTGGGTACAATTTACACATAAAGTTTAATGTACTATAAAAGCCGTTATCTTTCCTCACTGGCATGCAACTGTCCTCTTCCTGTAGTTTTTGCTGTAAGTGTGAATCTCTAAGAAAACAAAAAAATAAATAAATAAATCTCAATCATTTACTGTGCTGGAAAACCCCAGGCCACCAGGAGTTTCCATTCCAATTTCAAAAACATGACAGTTTATTGACATGGCTTTGTAACTATATTGCCATCAACTGATTTAATGAATTATTGGGTCTTCACCTTAATATTACTCATAACTGCAAACTGTCAACACAATTCCATTAAAGTGAAGAGGATAATAACAATCTTAATGACAGTGGTCAGCTACCAAGAAAACCCCAATTTCAAACATCATCCTTCTGAGACAGCACTTCCGCCTGAGAGCATACTTTGTTGTTATTTATTGCGAAATAATGACTTGAATAGGAATGTGTTGTTTGTCTTTGTATGAATGTGTGTTTGTATGTGTGTGTGTGTGTGCTACGTCACATAATGTATGTGATAGTTTGAAAGCATCAAATTTATGTGATAGTTTGAAAGGATCAAAGTTGTTCTGCATTAATATCAACACTACCCAATGGCACAGAGAAGAAATAAAGGTTTTCCCAAGCAGAATCCCAATTTGATAGTGATACTGCCTCCAACATGGCATCACCAACACATGCAAGCTTCTGAAAGGTTAAAGCAGCAAAAAGCAGAATTGCTACATATGCACAATTCAATTTACAGTACTGTCGAAAATATAACTGAAATAAAATTTATTTCTGGCATATATAAAAAAACATGCTGTTGAGTATTGAGTATAGGAATACTGGGGGAAAGATGCTTTCTTGTCTCTGTACTCATCTGGATCCATATTTGTCCTTCCATGAACAGAAGAGATCCTTCCATTCACAAAAGGACTTGGATTCAGCAGAGTCTCCCTGCTAAGGAGGTTGACAATTTTTTCTGATTCTCTGTCTCCCTGCAGCCCCCATGCTGCCTTCCATCCTGGCCTACAGGAGCTTGCAACTCAATGAAACAAGGGTTTTTTTTTGGGGGGGGGCAGTTGCAGAGGGAATATAAGGCTGCAGGAGGAAAGGTGAATAAGAGAATATTGCTACCTCATCCCCTTCTTCTAGCTCAGCAGAATTAAACCCTACCCAATTAAGTCAGAATGAATAACAGCAATGCATTATTACACTGTTGACTTTGCAGTTTCAATATACATTCCAAAGTTTTAGAAACTGATAGAGGCTCCGCCACATTTATAAGAGATGAATGGCATGATACCAAATACACTATCATAGCAAACTATTTGCTCACTCCCCTCGAAAGAAACATGGATAAACTCATACATTTGAACTGTCAGTAGTAATTGCTAGACCATCAACTGCAAAAGGCACATTCATACTTGTGAACTGCAGATTACTTTAGTGTGAACACAACTGAGAATGCAAGACTGCTACCTTTCAGCTTATGATTAACCACAAACTTTTTTTAAAATTAGTACAATATTTACTATAGCAGAATCTGCATATTGTTTACTGAAAAGTAAGAATCCTGGCTGTCACAGATGCTTCTTATCACACCACTGCAAAATGAGTCATGTGAGTGCAAAACAAGTAAGACTGAAGTAGAGGGGAGGCAGGCACACGATATATGGAAGCTCCACTCCAACAGCCCCATGTGCTCTGGCTTCTCTAGAGATATTGGTGCATTTGCCCAGGCAGTTTGTACACTCAAGAAGGGGGATAACCCTCTCCCCCACTTGGTGGTGAGATGCCCCAACCCATAAACCATGACAGCCCTTTTAGCTTGAAGATCTAAAAGGGACTTTCCAATGTGTTTAGATGAATATACTCATAAGCCTCTCCACACTCAGGGAGACTGACTTATAAGTGTTTCAATCCATGGATATGGTAGTTAAGGCGTTCAGCTGAATACAAGCATTTCAGAGACAGCACTTGCACCAGGGAAACTATTTTTAAAACTTTTTTACTTGTGTGTGTGTGTGTGTGCGTGCAGGCACATGTGCTATTTCACATGATTTATGTATTTGTTTGAAAGCATCATACATATAAGCTCTTTTAGATTTCCATGCTCAAAACATGAAGATCTTGAGAGAAGCAGACCACACAGGGGATACTGGGACCAGGTCTTGTATATGCACCTACATCCTTTCCCGATTTACTCTGCCGCCCAGAGTAGACCTTTGGTCTAGATGGGCGGGGTAGATGTCTAATAAATAAATAATTTCGCCCATCTCCTGTAGCAGGAGGATTTTTGTGTGAAGCTTCTGTCTGAACTAGGGAAGGGCAACTGGCTACTTGTACTTTCTTACACAATCAAATTTTGCAAATTTGCATCTATTCTGATTTTAAAAATTGCTAAAATGACATCTCCAACCGTCCTTACTTTCAATCTGTATCTCTGCCAGTGTGTGTATCTGCTAGGCTTATCAAATATGTTGAAAGTCTTCAACCTGGATTCTGTAGGAGGATGTATTTTCTGATCCATTTACAATTATGTTACCAATTATGAACAGCAAAATCTTTCCGGTAATGGGGGGGGGGGCGGAAATCCACCAATATATTCAATGTTTCTGTCTATTGTTTGTAGAAGAAAATAAGACAGCAACATTGAATATATTGATGACTGTTGAAGCACCCGCCAGCATTTCCCCTCAGCTGACCAGCGGGACCTTCGGAAGGACTGTGGGGGAGCTCTCCCCCGCGGTCCTTCCAAAACCCCCACCGGTCAGCTGGGGGAAAATGGGGAACATTGCAAAATGCGCATTGCTATGCGGATTCGTCATTAAACGGGGCGCCCGTTAAGCGAGGCACCACTGTATTGATGACTGTTATATAGAGTGTTTTCCTCCAATTAATTGAAATATTATGCTTCTCATAACTGGTTAAAAAAACCCACTCAGAGTGTCCCTGAAGAATGGAAAAGCATTGTGTGTACACTCAAGCATCCCGTGGGCAACAGCATGCAGCTGACTGATCTTTTGCTTCCAAAAGGGTTGGAATGTAAATTTGCTAGATCTTCTTTTGTACAAAGTCTAATTATCTTAACATTTCAATTTGCTTTTTCAATTTTACCTATATTTCTTATACATCCATATTTTTTTTAACTGTGCAGTGCGAAGGAAGGAAGGAAGGAAGGAAAGAAGGAAGGAAAGCTAGGAATTGGGGAAGGGAGGGCAGCAAATATAAAGAACAATCATCAAACATACTAAGCCACAGACAGTGTCTGCCTCTCTTTTTACCTTTCCTGTCTGGTTTAAGGTTCCTATCCACAGGTGGCGGTTCACATTCTGCAACAGGAACTGGCCTTCGGGGAGGGGTCTTTGGGCTGGACCGAAAGCCCATGTGTGCTGGTGGAGGGACTTGCATTCCAAACAGTGAAAAGTCAAAGGTGCCAGGAGTCATTGGCACATAGTTCGTCATTTCTTGGATTGGTTCAGTAAAACTACTAGAATGCTGCCGTGGAGGAGAGTTTGGGTTCATGGGGACATAGTTTTCATCCAGTTCTTCATTTGAAACGCTTCCCAAAGTCAGGTTTTTGTTTTTCTAGAAACAATGAAAACAAAAAAAAATTTTAACAACAAGGAACTAAATAACATTCAAAGCTAAAGAGTTCCCCAGCCCTCTGGTAACCGAATTACCATATAACTGACAGTGCCAAGACATCTGCCTCTTGCCTATTTTAAGAGATCCAGGGTCCATCCTTATTTTGGTGAGACAGAATTCCCCCACACACTGTGGTGTACTGAATAACATCTTCAAATAGCTAGAATCCCTTCATTCTTTGTTTTGATAACTGACTGGCATAGTTGTACACAATAGGCAGACTTCTGATATGATGGCAGTTTTGCAGCCTCCTATGTCCTGAAATATATGACGACTAAGGGCAGACAGTGATCTGGAGCAGGGACATGCCTCACCTGAAATACTACAGTAAGTTGCCTCCAGCCCCTGCTTAAACCACAAGTTAACACAATCCACCACTATATGAAGCTGAAATCCATTCATTGATCCATCCATTAATCCATTCATTAAATTTATATACTGCTCCCATTAGTGCCAAGACACTAGCCTGGGTGGTTTACAATCATGAGAAATTATGGTTGGAATCTTATTGGTGTTTGTAGAAAGTTTACATAACCTGCCATGGCTAACTGCAGCTAATTGATGAGATGCTGGGGACACATCCAAGTAGCGCAATCAGGTGTATGACTAGGAATGTAACCAAGAAACACCCTGACATCAGTTAGACACAGATAGCTGCAATGAATTATGTAAAGCTTAGGTAAACACTAACAGGATTCTGGCCAATGAATTGTGCTGTGTTTGTATAGCCTGTTTGTATGTGCTGGACTCCCACCTGATTCAGCTGTAGGACCAATGTCCATGCTGGTTGGGAGCAACCGGAACTGTACACCACCACAGCTGGAGGATGCTATGGTGAAAAATTAGTGCAAAGCATTCCATATAAACAGTCCCCCGCCTTGCTTCATATCAAAGATTATAAGGGCATATAAGGGCAAGGGAATTTTGTCATTAACATTGAAAATGTTGACAATCAAAATCAAACTTACAAAGTGGTTATGAAAGCCTTCCAGTGAGCTTGATCGGTCATTCGGAAATGTTCGTGGAATATAATAGCAATCTTGAGAACTATTATCTAAAGAAAAGGGGAAGAAAGAAAGCATTTCCTTTATATTCACTTTCTATTTCATGACTGGCCATTTGGAGGCTTAAATTCCTTATTTTTAAATGGAGTAAAAAGTACTAAAGAGGATGGGAGTTGGCAGTGGGGAATCAATGTAGGTATGAGGCTACCCTGTCTACCTTTGCTTGGAACATAACTCAGTGGTAACACTACTGATTGTTTTGAGTTACAAGCAGTGCACACAGAAGCCAGATTAGTATATATTTAAAGTGACCTTTGCAATGCCTCCAAACACATCAGGAATGGAAATGTTGCATACCATATAAATAAGCACTATATTAAGTAAACAATATACAACGAGATGTAGAGAATGTAAATATAAGTTGATGCTCACAAAGGGTCACAGAAGAAACTGCTGCAGTGCGGGCTTGCATCACAAAATAGCCTAACAGCAAATATTCAGGGGATTTGTAAGCAGGTATGCCCACCTTTAAATTGGAAAGAACCAATGTGGAAAAAAAAAGGGGGATTTGTAAGCAGGTTTGCCCACCTTTAAACTGGAAAGAACCAATGTGGAAAAAAAAACTCCTAGTATTTTTGTCTGCTTCTAGATTTTACGGGTGCAGACAGACATCATTAGAAGTTTTGTCCTCACCCCAGCCTCCTTCATTCAGAAACTTACAGTACCCACAATTGGAAGACACGGTTCTCTGCCCTCACAAACCTTACTGCCAGAGTGTCTTTTACTTTCATTTCTCAAGAAATCACTGCAAAATACTTGAGAAATAGGTTTGCTTTCACTTCTTTCTCTGGCAAGCAGAAACCTAGCCTTTTGCTTTCTAATCCATAGGAGTAAATGGGACTCCAAATACTAGCTATTATTATTACATATATTTGGAACTACAGTGGTGCTTCGCTTAACGACGATAATCCCTTCCAGGAAAATCACTGTTAAGCGAAACGTCGTAAAGCGAAATTTTAAAAAACCACTGAAACACATTGAAAACCGTTCAATGTGTTCCAATGGGCTAAAAACTCACCGTCTAGCGAAGATCATCCATACGGCAGCCATTTTCGCTGCTTGTATAGCGAGGAATCCGTCCCTAAGCACAGCGGGGAGCCATTTTAAGCACCCAGCGGCCATTTTGAAAACCCGATGATCAGCTGTTTATGGTTGTCGTAAAGCAAAAATCGGTTCCCGAAGCAGGGAACCGATCATCGCTAAGCGAAATTCCCCCATTTAGACCATCGTAAAACATCATTGTAATGCAGGGTAATCGTTAAGCGGGGCACGACTGTATCACATTCGGATATATATTGGAACTAGCCCAATATGGTGGCATTATTTGGTGAATTCCAAATATTTCTGAATACAAAACCACATCCCTATAATGAAACACCAGTGAAGTCTATGTTAAAACAGAGCCACAACAAGACCAACCTTTGCGGAATATATTCAAATCCGTGGTGGAAATAGTGTTGCTGCGTGAAGGAGGCATGCCCCCTGTAGGGATGCAGTAGCTATTATCTGTGTCTGAGGAAGTGCGCGAGATGTTACAAACGTCCACGGGTGAGCGGTCTGATGGGTAATGAGGTTTCGGTGGCCGAGGTGGAGGAATATCTGGATTTTTTTCTAGTTTTGAACTATGCGCCAATGAGCCTTCTGGAAAAGTTCGTGGAATCTGGTAAGTACTTCCAGGTGTAGGAGGAATGTCATAACTAATGGAGAGATGCCTCAGTTGTGCATCAAGAGAAGAGGCGGTAGATGAGGCACTGAAAACATGTTGCTCTCCATCTGTGTCTGTCCCAGAAGGAGATGCCTTAGGTAGAACATCTTGTGAATAACTCCGTGGCAAATTATAGAGGCTGCCATCTACTGATACTGAGGCAGCCCTTGGTGGGGGAGAGTCGTACACACTTTGTTGCTGAAAAAATCCATTGACCGCATGCTTATTCAGTGATTGTATAGATGTTTTGTGGGAAGGCACATTATCATTGCAATCTGTTTCAGAAGAGGCCGCCTTCAGTCCATCAGCCTGCAACCTAATTGCAAGATTTCAGAAAAGAAAAAGAATGTATTGACTTGTCCAAATTATTCTAGAAACAAATGCTCTGGAGAGTAAGATGCCTCAAAGAGTGGATCAAAATAGCATGCCACAATGACTTTTGTTTCATGTGATTTACCATCATGCAGTCATAGCATAGCAAATGGACTTTCACACAGATACTGGTTGGAAAAGTAAGAAATGTCTTTCTGTGTTATGTCATTTTGGGAGCCAAAGAGCAGGCATATCTGAATGATGCACTGCTTTCTCCACAACAAAACCTGGAAATGTTATCTTTTTGGACTGCAACTCCCAGAATCCTGCAGCCACCCTCTGGGAAATCTGCAGTCCAATAAAGTATATTTTCTAGCCTCAGATCCACATTGCTTTGTGGAGGCCCCAACTCCAATTCTTTCTTGCAGAACCATAAGAAACTATAAGGAAGGTCTATTAGGTGACGAAGCAACCAACAAGAAATTGACACAACTACGGGAGGCAGTAGAAGATAGGAGGGCCTGGCGTGCTCTGGTCCATGGGGTCACGAAGAGTCGGACACAACTAAACCAGTGGTTCTTAACCTTTGTTACTCAGATGTTTGAACTGCAACTCCCAGAAACCCCAGTCAGGACAGCTGGTGGTGAAGACTTCTAGGAGTTGCAGTCCAAAACTCCTGAGTAACCCAAGGTTAAGAACCAGTGAACTAAACAACTAAACAACGACGATGATTAGGTGACACTCACTGAATTAACATCTGCAATGCTAATTCACAGGCAGCAATGTGGAACTCAAGTTGACTCTTAATACCATTGTCAGTGCCGGATGTGTTGGCCTCATCTTTAGTTAGAAATAAGATTTGTAAGTACTATTTCTTTTGAGTTTTCTTTGTTCATGAAATAAACACAAAATTGACTGTGCTTTGTTGTAATGTTTGGCAATATTACACTGACCAAGCACTTCAATTACGATCTCCAATAATTTCCTTAGTATTTACACATAAGTTATTTTAAAAACCCATCATACAATTAAAGGAAAGACCCCACATTACACAGGAACTAGAATTCTCCCCATATTCCACACCATGCAGCATGTGTTTAGTAAATTCAGTTTGAAAGACTGAACAGTTGCAAAACTGTCATACATGAGATACAAACATTAACCACACTTGCTTCATGTGTAGAATCAGAAAAGTGAATATGAATATATTAAAAGATTAGATCTTGAAATTTTTTACTATAATGGGATTAGCATAGTGTCTGTTGTGTAGCGGGAGTACCAACTTTTCACTGGAAAGAAGCAACATGGCAGAAAGTAGTACCAACTGTTGGGTTTTCACTGGAAAGAAGCAACATGGCAGAATGGAAAGACTGTGGGGCAGGCACTGTTGCCTTCAGTTCTACAAAATACCCAAAACTCTTCTGCCATTTTTCTTAAATCATAAAAATATCTACATAAACATTAGAACAAATGGCTCCACTCTTCAAGCCCCACCTCCTAATTGTACTTTCAGACATTTCAAGATACAATTATTTGCATTACTTATTAAAATGCACAGCACAACATGCAGAACACACAAATATACACAAAGAAACTGAAATGGTTTCAAGCAAGTTATTGCTCGTGGTTAAATCCAACACAGAAGTCTCAAACAATTCTCATTACACTCACTGCAATGGAACTTTTTTACTTTCAAAATCTTCCAGCAGTAAATATTCTTCCCCTTCTTCTGAAATAGTGTAGGAGCTGGTTCACAAGCACATGATATAAGTGGAGAGAGACCCAAAATACAAATTAGCTTTCTGATACCTAAGTGTTTTCTAAGCAGAAAACTTTTTATCTCTTGATAGAAGCACTGATTTTAAAAATATCATTTAAAAAGCAGAGAGTACTAGTTGTAAAGGCAGGTAAATAGTTTTGACCTTTCATCTCACACCAGATTCTCAGGCAAGCATGAGGATCATAATCCATTTAGAGTTAAGCCCAATAAAGCCCACTAAAATCTCACTAAAATTTTGACTGCAGAAAAGTGTGATGACACCGTTGCATCAGCAGCCCTAATGCAACTTTAAGATGCTGGTCATTACCTTCAAAACTCTAAAGAGTTTGGGATTCATATTTATAGGGCTATCTTTTCCCATGCAATCCTGTTTGCTCTTTATGACTGGCTTCTGCAGCCTTCCTGGACATCGAAAGCTGACTTACAGTAGCCAGGCCAATAATCCAGGTAGCCCAGAATTGCCAAACCTGACTGGCAGTGGCTTTACAGCCCTTTGGCCAGGAATCTGTCCTCAACCCACCTGAAGATTCCCTGGTACTCCCGTTCAAGTATTAACTGGGCCCAGCCTGCTTAGCTACCAAAACTGGATGAGACTGGATGCCCTGTTGCATTCTAAGGCGTCAGTGGGAGGAATAGGCAAGTAGAGAGCATCATGCATGTGGAACCCTCTGCCACAAGAACTGAACCCCACCTTTTTGTCTGTGGTTTACTGGCAAACTAAAAGCATTTGTTTCACACCAGTGCGTGATTCTTGTTTATCTTGGCCTATGGTGGGTGTGATTTCTCTCCCTCTTGACATTCATCTTTTTTAGAATGATGGTGGGTTATTTTTATCTTTGCATCTTTTTTTCCCTCAGATGCTTTTGAACAACTCCTTTGGGAAGGGGAAAAGTGGAGGACATCTATTTTTAGATAAACAAATAATAAACAGCCATCACCTAGGCTCCAGTGATGGTTCTTTTTTTAAACAAATTATATAAGAATAAGGAAAACAACAACATGGTAGTCACATAGCGTACGGACTTCTCACAAATCCATCCAATGCAAAGTCTATTCAAGACTGAAGAGCAGAGGGTGGCTACAGGAAAAGGACAACAAGGCAACTGCACTTTTCATAGTTGTGTGGAAGAAGGACCTTCAGCAGTTGTAACTCACTAGGCACACTGTTCCTGCTGAAATGTCCTCTTCCAGGCAATTCTGAAAACTAGAGGGCCTTGACCTCCTTTTCAGGTGGCCACTTAAATGAAACAAGCATGAACTACCACTCTAGTAGGATGGCCACGAGAAAGAGGACAGGGCTCCTGTGCCTTGACTATTTGTGTGGATGAAGATATATTCTGCACATGTACTTTGTGCAACAAGATTTTAAGCAAAAAAATTGTAGAAGCAGGACCCTCCTCCCAAAAGGCTCTGAAGTACTTTGCAACAAGTGACACATGAGCTGAAAGCACCTTGCCACAGCTGTCTTCCTCAATATCTTAAGGGGAAAAAAATAAGGACTAGAAAGTTACCATTTACCTTGCTGGTTCAGGCTTCTTGCTCTGACAGTTGACTAGTAACAGGTAGTCTTGTGGATCTTCTTGACTTGAGGCAGACTCTAACGGTGGGATGTTGATGAGTTGATAGGGAGGTGGCAAGGACGCTTCAGGTTGTGTGGATGGTAGAGAAGTGTTGACAGCTGAGGGTAATTCAACAGGTACCTGCAGAGAACTGCCAGGTGGCTTCACAGCATCTACAAACACAAAAGCATACAATAGTGTCAATCCACTGAGATATTTCATCTTGTTAAATGAGGGTTGAAACCTGATAAGAGAACTTTAAAGTCATGATTGGATTGTAGGCTTTTCAAGCTACCATTGTATCATCCAGACTACACCTAGCATCATATGAACTCAGGTGTTATGTAGAGGCAGGCTTGTTTAGGGATCTCCAAGTCGGGCTAGGAAAGAACCACATATGGAAGTTTAGAAAGCCACTGTCAGAGTTCACAATATTGGGCTAGAGGGACCCATAGCCTGTTTCACCTAAGGCAACTGTTTGTTTGTTTGCTTGTTTGATTGATATTTCATCTGCCCATTTAGTGAAAAGCACTACTCTGGGCAAGTTACAAATAAAACCCAGACCCCCCACCCCCCAAAAAACAACCCAATTAATATGGAGGTTCACTAATCCAGATCTAAAATCAACACAATAAAAAAAATCACAAGAAAGAAAAAATACTAAAAATTAATATTAACAGTACCAAGGATATTAAAGACAGCTTTATGTAATTCATTAACCTCCTAAATATCAGGAAGAAAGAAGCTTGTTTCAAAGACTGGAGGCCACCACCAAGAAGACCGGATTCCCTGTTGTCACCTTTTTGGCCTTCCTTGGTGTGGCTACCTTAGGAGCAAGGATTGAGAGGAGTGGGTGAAAAGGATAGCTGCTTTATGAGAGAGACATTCCAATAAGTATCAAGGTCCTAAACCTTTAATGCTTTATTTTATTTTATTTTATTCATTTCCCTGCCTTTCTACTTGAAAAGAATCCAAATTCCAGTGAAAGACAATATTTGAAGTTGGAAACAATGAGTGTACAACGGTGGATAACATCATTAGAGACAATATTTAAAGCTAAGAACAATGAGTAAAGAGGCATCTCACATCATTAAAGGCAATATTAAAGCTAAGAACAGTAAGTATACAATTTTTAAAAAACTAAGCCACTCTGAGAAACGGAAAACACAAGATATTTTGGACCTATAGAAATTTTCATACCTTTTTCAAGGGCAGTCAGATGTAGAGAAAATTACAGTTATCTATTTTTGATATTATCAATGGGTGAACTAACCTTATTAGGCATTTCTTAACCAGGTAGGGACACAGCATCAAGGCAATCAACCAGCATTAATAAAAGGCAGTCCTGGCTACAGACAATATTTGATATTTCACAGAGAATGCGAGGTGAAGGAGTACCCCCCCAGATGTGTACCCAATTCTTCAGAGGGATTGTAACCCCATCAAGGCCATTTAATGTGTTCCTATGGGCTTAAAAACTAACCTTATGCGAAAATCCTCCATTGCGGCGGCCATTTTCGTTGCCTCTAAAGTGAGGCAAAACAGCAGGTGGCCATTTTGTTTACCTGGTGGCCATTTTGGAACCGCCGATCAGCGGGCCGAAAATGGGGGCTTTGCGATAATTGCTTCCCTGCGATCATCGCAAAGCGAAATTTCCCCATAGGGGCCATCGCAAAGCGATCGCTCTTGCGATGGCAAAAAGTCCATCGCAAAGCGATTTCATCGCTATATGGAGTGATCGCTATGCGAGGCACCACTGTATATTGTTTCCAGTGTCACTATTCTGAACTTCTTGGTATCTAGGTAAGAGTTTACCTCTCTCAGGTCTAGAATAGGCCTTAAACATCTGTTTTGAGTGAAAATGTACTATTACTGTATTTTTGCGTTTATAAGACATCCCCCTTTTCTAACCCAAAAATTAAGAAAGCTTAGCTTTGAGTATTCAGCCTCTGGAATCAGAGCACTCGGACATTAGGAGTCCCTGTTGCATCTCAGCCTACAGGCTCCACCTCCAAAGAGGTGTATTCCAATTGGTTTGTTCAGCATCAGCTGACGTCAGTTCCATAAGGCTCGTAATTGGAGGAAGCTAAGTCTCCTGACTGTAGGAAGCTAACCTCATGATTGAAGGAAGCCTGTTTACAGATGCAAGGTATGAGCAGTTTTGTTCTCAGCTTTCTTCCATGTATAAGATGACCCTCAATTTTTAGTGCAATTATTTTAGGGGAAAAAATGTTTCTTATACACAGAAAAATACGGTATTTTGTTATTGCTGTCATTTCCATGTTCATTGAATAAAGATTTTTAAAAAGAAAAGTTATATCAAACATTTCAAAAGGTGTTTCCTCAGTGGCAGCTGAAAGTGAACTAAGGATTCACCCAAGAGTAGGGAAGCATGCACAGTACAGAGATTGGATTAACAGTGTTTCTAAGTTCTAGAACATTCTGAGGAGTTTTGCACAGGTGTAGAGAGAAACCACATATGTGATTAACAGAGATCATGAAGAACGGATTGTTTAAAATGATTTGAAAATTCTGTCATAAAGGGACATGATATTGCTGTCATAAAGGGACTTTTTGATAATATAGCCATTGTATTAAACTACCATCTTGTGAGGGACATAGCAATTGACTATAGTCTAAGTTAATCTCCTTGTATCTGCCCTATGGATTCTATGTTACACCATACTACACTATAGTACTACTGGAATCTTACTATTGATTAATCTAGCTCAGCAGCCATACTAATGGTTTCAGGATGGACTTTCTTCTAGCCCTATCTGCAGATTGCTGGAATTATCTAATTCTTAACCGACCAGATAGGCAGGAAATAAATACATAAATAAATAAATAAATTAAATAAATAAATAAATTGTATCTTATCCAAGTAATAACAAAACCTCACCCTGCTTTGCTTTCAAAATCAGATGAAATAGGGTGTGTCCAGACTGAACACAATTATTCTGGAATGTGGCAATATATGTTATGAAGACAGTATTCAACAGAATTTTAGTTGTATGTTTTTAAATAAAACATTAAAAAATGCAAACATCCATACCATTGTGAACCAGATGTACCGTATTTTTCCATGTATAAGAGAGCAGTTTTGTTCTCAGCTTTCTTCCATGTATAAGATGACCCTCAATTTTTAGTGCAATTATTTTAGGGGAAAAAATGTTTCTTATACACAGAAAAATACGGTATTTTGTTATTGCTGTCATTTCCATGTTCATTGAATAAAGATTTTTAAAAAGAAAAGTTATATCAAACATTTCAAAAGGTGTTTCCTCAGTGGCAGCTGAAAGTGAACTAAGGATTCACCCAAGAGTAGGGAAGCATGCACAGTACAGAGATTGGATTAACAGTGTTTCTAAGTTCTAGAACATTCTGAGGAGTTTTGCACAGGTGTAGAGAGAAACCACATATGTGATTAACAGAGATCATGAAGAACGGATTGTTTAAAATGATTTGAAAATTCTGTCATAAAGGGACATGATATTGCTGTCATAAAGGGACTTTTTGATAATATAGCCATTGTATTAAACTACCATCTTGTGAGGGACATAGCAATTGACTATAGTCTAAGTTAATCTCCTTGTATCTGCCCTATGGATTCTATGTTACACCATACTACACTATAGTACTACTGGAATCTTACTATTGATTAATCTAGCTCAGCAGCCATACTAATGGTTTCAGGATGGACTTTCTTCTAGCCCTATCTGCAGATTGCTGGAATTATCTAATTCTTAACCGAGCAGATAGGCGGGAAA